GGGGGGGGTTGTGGAGGAGGAACTGCTTTTTGGTTCCTCAGGTCGCTTTGCCCCACAACAGTAATAATTAAATTGTATTTCTGGCTCGTGCCCTTAAGTATCTCCAGTGTGCGCTAGTTGAGTAATTATGCTGCGAGCAAATATTGCTAAATTCCCGACTTCCGTGGTTAGCAGACAATGTGAATACCATCAGGTGTTGATTCCTAGATCAGCTAACGTTGTTCCGTCATACAGTATTAACCAAGCGCAGATCCACTCATTGTATCGTCGACTACCTCAAACTTGGGTAATGTAACCTTTATCATACATAAACACGCGCGACACGAACGAATAACGTCGAATATACGCGGATACAAAAATGCGTTAAAAAATAATAAAGGAAAAGATGATCAGCGCCTCGTCGCTTCATCGTCCGTAGTTGTCGTTTGTTTGTCGTCGCCTTCGCCGTCCTCAGTCGTCAAATCCGTTGAAATGATAAAAAAGAGAGATGAAAGGATAAGCGCCGTCGTAATCCGGACGTTGTTGATCGGCATCTTCCTTTGTTGAAGTCGAAAGTGCATGAAAAGGACAGTGCCGCGCGGAAACAGAGCACAAAAAGAAGTAAACATCCACATGTTACAAAAATACATATTTTATACAATTATTACGAAATCGAGATTTAGCAATCTCGACAGGGCGGGGAGGGGACAGAAACAGACAAAAGTAGCAACTGCTGTATACTGTGATATACAATCTGGACAGCGCAGTGTTCTGTTCGGAGAAATCTGAAGTGTCAGCTGAAGTAAGCACTGCTCCTGTCGCCTCAGTTTAACTCGCAATAGATCAGTTAGATGCGGCTGGCGAGGCTTGCTGCATGTGTCAATTATGTACAGCCCGGAAAGCGATGTAGCTGTGGAAAGCGCGACGTACAGCAAAGCCCGAGTCATTCACTGTGTGACATGAACGATCACGGAGGAATATGTCTGTCGTTGGCTATTCTGAATTGCTATCGCTTCCGCTGGTATCAGTGGAAATTGTCTGTGCAGCACTTGCATGTTTGACGATTTGCTGCATTTTATTGTGGCCGTTGCTGGTTCTAACGGTATCCAGTCAGGCGGATATTGCATGCGCGTGATGATAGCACTAAATCTGCGCGTTTTGCCTCCCACTTCTGGCTCGTCATACTACGCAGACACGTACTGGTTTCGGTGGACCACGCTGTCCCGGCCGCAGTGTCCCCATCTGCACTTTCATCAGCCGTTTAGTGACGCCATTTGTTAGGCCGTCACTGATGTCCAAATTGTATATACTGAGTTTAAAAAATAAGAAAGTGGTAAAGGAGAGGAAAGGATGGAAGGAGAGGAAGTGGGGGGAAAGTAAATTAATAAGTAAGATACTATTGAACAGTACGGAATAAAAAATTGGAGATGATTGTGGATGGGGAGAAAATTATGAATGGTTTAAATTAGAGAAATTTAATGTGTAGAGAAAGTTTCAAACAGAGGAAGGTTTGTAAAAGGTTATTAATGAAGAAAAATTTACTAGATAGTCTATTTAATGGTAAGAAATGTTTTGGTCCATTAAGTCGTATACATTTTTTACCGTTACCATAACTGGACCTCGTCAGGACGACGATTGTGGTAATTGAATTAATAATTGTAAATGTGGGACATGCCCGATGAGGTTCTGATTTTGGCATGGTCTAGCTGAGCACACAAGCTGATATACTGTAGTTCTTTATGATGCTTAGTTGCATTTAATTATAAAAACGAGAAAAGAGGGGTACGGCGAATTATACGCATCAACAGTTAGCGCATTAATAAAAAGAAAGTGACTTATCTGCAAAACATCAAATTTGCTGGGGGACCCATTTTAGTTAATAAATAGCTTTGAAGCCCAGTAGATGGCATATGAATGGAA